CATCTTCCCTGTGTTGAAGTTTCCAGCAAATAGCTAGCGCAAATAGCCCTCGTGTACCTTTACACGAAATGCAAAACAAACAATAATGATCCAAAAACCTCAATAAATTATCCGCTCTCTGCCAACTGAAAACTGACTTAATGCTTCACTGATTCTCGTATTTATAGCATAGCATTGCTTCTAGACACTTTGCAGTCTTGCGATCACTAACATTCATGGTTCGATCCAAACCTGGTAAGTGTTTAGGTTTAATAAACAAGGGGTGGTCAAAAATTTGTTGAAATTTCTCTTCGCCCTTCTTTAACTTGTGAAGTAAAACATGTAAAATCGTGAGATCTGAGCATAGATAAAAAGATGTTGAATTGTTTGGTACATGACTGAATTAGGTACAGAGGTTGAGCCGGAAGAAGGTTGGGGAAGATGTGAACGTATGCATAAATCCATTATAGGTAATTCTAGGACTTCATTTACAGATTTACTTGATCTTAACATCTTGCGCTCTTTAGTTAACATTTAAATTTTAACAGTGAGAATATAGCTTACAACACAATTATGATTTCTTTGCAGTTATCATACGCGATTTTTTCGTAAACCTAAAATATACCAATGCACAATATCTGGGATAACTCCACTTATTCACAATAAATTGACAAGCAACGATTTATAAGCATAATGAAGTGTTTTTATTTTGAGGAACGTACTACACGTTTCGACAGAACATTGGTCTACCTTCTTCTATCGAAACATGTAGTGTGTTCTCCAAATTAACACCACTTCATTGTACTTATAAATCGTTGTTTTTCAATTTAATATTATATTAGCATAATGTGCTTCCACACACAAGAACATTTATTCAATAAAATAGTTTGAACGCCATGTAACTTTAAAGGTAAAATTCCATTCTCGGAAATAAAATCCTTTGTTTTCTCATTTATGTGCTGAACTGTTATTGTCAACAATAATTTATCCTTACCTAAAGTAAGTTACTCTTATGAGGACGTTTACTTTTCATTTCTATATCAATAAATACCACAATTTGATTGTTTTAATTGAAATTTTAAGATAACTTAACAGCTCTCAAGCCACATTTTTATTTGGCTAAGCGTTTTAATATTGTTACGTCTCCGTTTGTTAATTAACT